TCAAATTATTTCTGTAAAACATATTCATAAATCATTTAAATTTAAAATTGAGATTTGTTTTAGTTTTTCATTTAATACATTAAATGACATAAAACTTATCAAAAGAATAGACAAAACTTATTTGAATTAATTGAACTAAACTTTTAACTATATTAATTCTGGATTAATAATTTGTTCATTTGATTTGCTCAAAGTTATTAATTTTGAGCCCATATTTTGATTATAACGGAAACATTAGTTTAGATTACGACAGGAATGACAGCATTGGTGTACGTAATGAGCGATTCGACACATATTCAGCGATTTGGCCAAAAGACAGTGTTTGGATGTATCCACACATTCATCTGTTTTCATCACATTTTGTTAATTTAAGACAATTATAAGGTTTCTGTTAATCAATACTTACTTTGACTACAGGTATGATTAGTGCACGACTGGAGAACATCGGGTTTGGTTTTGTCATTACATGCATCACCGGCCGAATCGCCAGAATTAAACCAAACGCATTCAATTGTACGCCATTGATAGCCCTCTTCATTGCATTTTGCATTACACTATTAGATATCATTAAAAACATTTTGTAATAAATTTTATATTTTTACAAAGATTTAACAAATATTTACCAAAATTGCAAATTTACAAATAAAATTGCAGTATTCTGAAATATTACTAAAAGATTATACTAATTATGTATCATTAATCGTGCAATTCATTGAAAACAGCAAATCTAATAAATTTAGTTGAATTATATTAAAAAGATGATTAACTAACTTGAGTCCATTGCCCTGTAATCCAAGTGCCTTCACATAAATCATTAACACATTGTTTTTGGATAATTGGTTTGTCCTGTGATTGGCATTCGTTATGATCGAGATGTGATCCATTATTTAGCGCACACTTCACTTCCCGGTGTTGTACACCAGTCCTCAAGTCTATGCATTTATTACACTATAAATTATAGATTTGATGAAAAATTAAATCAAAACTTTTATTTGAGTTCATAGTAAAAGTCTTACTTCAGACCACTGACCCGTTTGCCAAAACGGACAGTCAGATTGCCTGCAACTCCGGATAGTCTTCGGCGTCGGAAGACCAGCGGAGGCGCAGATCGTGTTATCTATGGTTTTCGAGATATTCTCGTATATTATAAGGCATTGACTGTCTCTGACCTGAGTTTTAAATAAAAATCAATCAGTGAATTAGTGTTGAGCGCAATAAATATTTAATGTTATTTCAATACTTGATATTCAGTGCCATTGCAGGGCTGATCGCATTTGGACCAATCTGTGGTCAACCAATCAAACCTCAAGTGCTCTGGTCTACCATTTCTTGAGATCAATGCATTGATTAGTAAATTGTAATTGTTTTGAGGATCTTCTGTGTTATGACTACTATTGTGCTTATTATCAGAAGTGGTATCAAAAGTATTGGATTGAGATTTTCTCAGATCTGCCAAAATATTCTCTAACATTAGAAGCGATTCGTCTTGAAATGGTTGCGATCCGTATTTTTCTTCAGAATTGTCCTCTTCTTTGTCGACGACCTGATCGGCGACTTCTTTGTTGACATTTCCGTAATTCACTTCAAAAGTATCCATTCTTTGGTCGCCATTTGAAACGCCCGGAGATTCTCCAGAATATGACTCTTCATTGAGAACCGAATCCCTCTGCGAACTGAAGGCTCGCTTCGGTTTACTTCTCATTAGAATAGCTTTTTTGTTTATAAACCCATTGCTTGTCATTCGCGAGTTATCATGACTTCTGTCACTCCTTTCTTCTGAATTTTTGACAATTTTTCCGAAATCAAAATTATTTAATCCAATGCTGTGTCGCTCAACAGTCCGGTCCTCAGCCGACGCCGACATGTGTCTGATTTTTAAATCAATCTTATGATTGGTTTTGTTATCCCAACTGCAAGAATAAACGCCAGAATCGGTTATTTCAACGTTTCTGATCCGAAGTACATTCTTTGCGGTCATTTTTATTCTGTGTCCAAACAAAATCCTGGCGTTATTTTTAGTCCAATGGGTGTGACTTAAGTCTCTGTCGGACTTACGGCGCGGACACCGCAACCGAAGTATAGTTCCCGACATAACGATCGCCTCTCCGTTCACTTTTAATGATATCCTTTTCATGGATTCCTTTTGAATAAATAAATTTTCGTCGATTTTATTTGATTCGCTGTTTTGTTTGGTTTTATGGATAACTTTTCTCAGTTCAAGCAATGGATTTCTACACTGTTTTAAGTTACATGTCTTCGTGTGTTTTGGACGCTTTTTCGGACACTTAGACACCGATTGCTCCACTATTTGTCCAAATGCTAATTCTGTGGACATTAAATTCAAGTTATTATGATTTTTATTGAAACAACGCGATAATACCTTTAATGCATTTTAGTTTTCTTGTCTTTACACCTCCGCCACAACTGCGCGAACACTAATAGTAATAAACAAATAAAAATATTAACTTTGTATACAAATTAATTTTTATTGAAACAACGCGATAATACCTTTAATGCATTTTAGTTTTCTTGTCTTTACACCTCCGCCACAACTGCGCGAACACTAATAGTAATAAACAAATAAAAATATTAACTTTGTATAAAAATTAAGCTCAATATAAAGACACACTTGAGTCCACGGCTGTGCCTCCCATTTAGGCAGACAATCGATTGCATTACAAAACTGTTTAAGTTTAGGCATCGGTTCTTTGCAGAGATGATTGGCCACAACTATAGTGTTGGCGATACCTCTGGTCACTTCGTGAACGCACTGCACATCCCGTGTCTGCACTCCAGCCCCGCATTCCTTAGAGCACTGGCCATAATCTGATACATTCCACCTTTAAATGCATTCAAATGCAAAACTCAATTGAATTGAATAAAATGAAAAGCCTTTGAAAATAAGATGAATACCTGGGAGGACAGGGATGATCATTGCATGTGCGCGTAAATGAATCAGGTTTCTTATTTATGTCGCATAAATATGGATTAACTACCGACTGATCCGTATCTCTGACACAAAGTATAATTGACTCTTGAGTGCCTGCAATAGTGCGAACAAAACGTTTTACCATATATTAAAACCAAACAATTAAAACACCCAAAACATCGTAAAAATGTTTGGGCAGTTCATTACCCCCTAAACAAGCGGCCGAACACTCTGTAAATCCCGAACTCTTCCAAAAGTATTTGGTTTCAATACCAATCTTCGAGAGCGGAACCAATTTATTGGCCGGTTTCTCAACTCCAGTGCTTATTATATGATTATCGCTGTCCTCATCGTCTTCGTCCATATCGTCAAAGTCGTCGTCTTCTTCAGCAATTGGTTCGCAGTCTTTTATGAGACAAACCTCAATCTCTTTGGGCTTAACTCCGGAGCACTGGCTGTCCGGCAATCGGACGACACTTCGCGAAAACTCTAAAAATATTTTGCAGTCAACGGAGCGCTTCTTAATGCCGTTCCCACACTCGGCACTACATGTGGACCACTCGCCCACTATATAACTTTTGGGCGAAATTCATTGCATTGCAAATTAAATGCCTTTTGTGTTACGAGAAAAATGCAATTCACAACAAAATGTTACTTACTTTGGTTCGCTCGATAGCGAAGGGTTGGTCACTCTATGATACCATTGAGATGTTAGGGGCGCTCCGGGAGAATCTTCCTGTGAGTTCTCGTTTGAATCTAAACGAGAGTATAATAGAGTTCTTAATAATATATATTATGTCTAATTTCATGTTTATATAAATATATTTTCCATTTTCGGGAGAATATTCAATAGAATACTAGTATTAAAATATTTTATACATATTTTGAAATTATTAGTTGTGTTTAAAAAGCAGTATAATTTAATTTACACAAAAAAACATGTTTTATTGTAGTCTCTCTGTCCGATCCCTAAATGTATTATAGTTGTGATACAAATGATAAATTTAATTGATTACTCACTTGAATGTGTTTTTTTACAATCAATAGTCGCCGAACACTCCTGTCTTTCATTAGGTTTGGTTTCGTTATTGCATTCATTACTGAAAATTTAATTCAATAAAAGTGAATAAAGTTTTAAAATTAGCATAAAATTCACTAAAAGAACAATTAATAAGTTTTAAGGAATTTATATTGATTTATAAATTTAATTTATATTTAATATTATTTATTAATATACTGCATTACATGTACTAATAATAATAAATGGATTAACTATTTTAAAGCAATAAATAGTGGATTGTATTCCGACTTAAAAAGTTTGTTTATTAGAAAAAGTATAGTCAATACTCTGCTGCCCACCTCTGCCTCTAAACTGTAATCTCAAGAGAGTATTAGCGCTTAAATAATACAATACGATATCGTGTGTGTGTATAAAATATTGGGTAATTTCTAGACATTTATTATTAAGGACTTTATTTTTTGGAAACACATCTGGAATGCCATAAAAAGATCAAACCTATAAAATCCGCGAACGTCTCGACAAACCACAGCTCGGGTTTGGGATCCCTTCCCACAAGTGGCTGAACACTAGTGGTTATTAGAGATGCAAACAATCAATATATAAATTTATGATAACATGTATGCAATGATGCAAATGTATAGTGATATGAATTTGTTGAAATGGTGACTGACCGGAGACCAGACACCTTCAAACCATTGCGGGCACTCCTGTATATTACATGACTTCTCAGTTATAGGCTTTTGTTTGAGACAATCACTATCAGACACTTTAAGTCGAGTGCCATTCACCACATCCTGAACGCAATACACGTCTCGCGTTTGTTTGCCTCCACTGCACCGTTGGCTACAATCACTCCACGACTCTATAATCCAACTAATTTTGCAAATGTTTTCAACAATTAATATGTGTTTAAAATTTTCCCAAATAGAAAGAAAGAAAGAAGAGAGAGAGAGAGAGAGAGAGACGAAGTGTGTTGTGATCTACGAGTGGTAGTGGAGCTGAGCTACTGAAGAGATGACACGCTATGCAATTGGAGTGACGTAAATAATCCGACTGTGACCACAATCCCAGCACAACTCACACACATTTACCTGTCTGTCCCTCAACTGTATCTGGGCTTTCAATACCTGTGCAACACATATACAACTCATAAACAGTTATTTTTTCTGTTTGATAATGTTTTGGCTCTGAGATTATAAATCATTATGACTTCAGGACATGTCTATAGATTATTGTAGAAGTTATTGTTGTTTATTATTAATACAATCGTATATATGCTGTACAATAAGGGAATAGCATTTCAATAATTGTTTCGTTAGTCTAAATAAAATTTTTCCGCTTATATTCTATGCATTAAATTCTTATAGTCTCTCTCTCTCTCTCTCATACTGTGTATTAGCCCCGCGTTTGTGTTCAACCAAAACCAGTTTTGCCCGAAAAATCATTACGATTGGAAGCAACAAAAGTTTATCCACAAAAATATAACTTTATTTTTATTTTTCGAGAATTTTATTTTTACACTTCTCTCTCTCTCTCTCTCTCTCACTCTCAAACCTCTGGTTTTTCTATCCATTTATATAACAATCTCTCCCTCTCTCTCCCCAAATAACAGCCCTCTCTCTCACACAACTGTTAAGTCTATCCTCTCATTCACTCATAAAAATCATCGGTTTCTCGGAGAAGGAGATCATATTATTGAGTGAAACACTTTCTATAACTCCCAGTGCTATTCAGTCAGTAGTTGTCGACCACCGATTCTGTATACACACACGAGTAGTGTTACTGTTATAATCGTCTCATAAATTCTCTCTCACGAGTGTTTTCTTACTTTTAGTTTTTGTATTGAAATTTTGTGCTTTCGATTCAACGCAAAAGTTTAGTCCCATTGAAAAAGTCAACGCAAAACCAGCGCTATTTAGTCGTCTTCTAACTACACTTCTCATTGAAATTAACGTCAAAACTAACCGTCGGTTTGTCTACTACTGGAAAAGATGGTTATCCTTACAAATATGATACCGAACTTGGAGTCGGTGTTCAAAGTATTGAAATATGTGCTAATCGTGTCGAATGTGCTCATTATAATCGGTTCCGTATTCCTGATGCTGTCGGGCAAAGATCTGGGCGAACCGGAGTTCAAGAACAATCACTCGGTGCTGATATTCGCCTGTTTTATGGTCATCTTGTTTTGCACGATCGGCATTCTGGGCGCCTGGAGACACAACTTCCCCCTCACCATCACATACGGCACACTCATGACTGTCGCCCTCGTCCTCGAAGTGGCCGAACTCTCCTCCGAAGACGTCATCTCATTCTGTTTGTCCACTTTCATCGTCATCTGTGCCTTCAGTTACGCCGCTCTCATCAAACGTATGCAACACATGGAAGTGATTCGCAGGTCTTTCTCACACGAAACGGCTAAGATTTAAATGACTAATTCAAACACTTTTGTAATTATTAATTATCATTATTATGTTTATTATATACTAATTGTTGTTGTATTTTCACTTGCGATCCCTTGTCTGTCAAACCACACAATTGCATGAAAAAACCGATATTTTATTTGTCGAATGTTTGTCATAATAATAATAATTATTTGATTTTTTAATTAAAGACACCATTGCTTTGTATAAAAACCTATATCTTCGGTAGACTTTTGTTGTATTTATGCAATTCTTGAATTTTATATCAGTAGTTAAATTCTTGCCAATCATTTCTTATATAAACTTTACATTTTGATTAGCATTTATATAGTTGTAATTCTTGCACAGATTGGCACAGAATTTAACTCTGATATAAGCAGTATTTAATGCATAATATAACAAAAGTCTACTATTGATTAACTATTGTATTTCTATCACAACTTTGTTTTCAAACTATATTCACTGTACAGATAATTACTGTAACGATAATTAATATGAATCTCAATGTAATCAATGCATCCATCAATATGTAACATAAGGTATCAATAAGTATATTATATCGCACTCTAACTTATTGCTCATTTAAATACCAACAAAATAATACCAAATATTTTTTGTCTCTTCAAATCAACAAAAATCGATATAAATAAACCATAAATTGATTTTTTATAACGCTTTTTAATTGTATGTTTTGATAATAAATGCAAAATAAAATATGCTGATTTTAATTTAACTACAATTTTGTATTGTATAAAGTTTAATTTATTTAAAACTTCAAAATTACATATTTAAATGTCATTATATTTATGGATTAACTGAAAATAACGCAATACGAGGTATATTTGGTTACTTATAATTAAAATACGATTTGGAAATAAAATTCACAGAAAATATTAAAAATATATTTGAAAATAAAAATACATTTTTTGAGTATTATTTTTGTTTGCAAATAGTTTTTTGTTGTTTTGTTAATAACGTATCGAAACGTGTGTATAAATAACTCAAAATATTAACAAAAAAATTGCTTTTACTTCTAATGGTCCTAAAGAAGAGAGAGAGAGAGAG